GCCCTTCAACTTTGTTTTATAGTTCTGGGTGGGTAGACAAAATGAGTGGTAGGAATATTTTTGGATTCCATTCCTATATTGGAGCCGCTGGCAATGTCTTAACTGTGCATGGAAGTCACTATGAATCACAAAAATATATCCTGTTAAACTCATACCAAATGTATTATAACTCAACTTCCCTTCTGCACATTTTTAAAATGCTTGTTAGTCACTCCAATACCACTAGACAAGTGTGACAGAGGACAAATCAGTGAGGAAAAATTAGCAGTCTAAAGATTGCAGTTGAAGTCTGGCCAAGATGGAGGCATAGGTAGATACAATTTGCTCCTCAAACAACCAAAAGAAGGACAACAACAAATTTAAAAACAAAAAACAACCAGAACTGCCAAAAAAATCAAACTGTATGGAAGTCCAACAACCAAGGAGTTAAAGAAGAAACATCCATCCAGACTGGTAGGAGGGGTGGAGATGTGCAGCTGGGATGGAGAGGACTCATGGCAAGGTGGTGGCTGGAGGACTAGGAGAGCAAGGCAACGGCTGGTGGACCAGGTGGTCCCACATTCATGTGCAGATAAACTGGGAGGAACAACTGGGGAGCATGACAGACGGCACAACCCAGGGTTCCAGTGTGGGGAAATAAACCTTCAAAACCTCTGACTGAAAACACCTGTTGAGGGTTGAGGCAGCGGGAGAAATTCCCAGCCTCACAGAAGAGTGCGTTGGAGACCCACCCTACAATGTGCACAAAACCACCCACCTGGGAATCAGCACCAGAGGGCCCAGTTTACTTGTGGGTAGCAGAGCAAATGACTAAAAGTCAGTGGAGAGCTGACCAAGTGCCATTGTTCCCTCTTGGACCCCTCCCCCACATACAGTGCCACAACACAGCCACATGGGTTGCCCCCATCCCCCACAAATATCTAAGGCTCCACCGCTTACTACTTAACAGGTACACCAAGACAAAAAAAATGGCCCAAATGAAAGAAGAGATCAAAACTCCAGAAAAAGTATAACTAAGCGACAAACAGATAGCCAATCTAGCAAACTGCACAGTTTGAAACACTGGTAATTAGGATGCTCACAGAAATGGTTGAGTTTGATTACAAATAAGGAAAAGTGAAGGCTATGAAAAGTGAAATAAAGGAAAATGTACAGAGAACCAACAGTGACGGGAAGGAAACTGGGACTCAAATCAATGGTTTGGATCAGAAGGAAGAAATAAACATTCAACCAGAGCAAAATGAAGAAATAAGAATTCAAAAAAATGAAGAGAGGCTCAGGAACCTCTGGGAGAACTTTAAATGTTCCAACATCCACATCATCGGGGCACTAGAAGGAGAGCAGGAAGTCAAAAACTTATTTGAAAACATAATGAAGGAGAACTTCCCCAATCTGGCAAAGGAAATAGACTTCCAGGAAGTCCAGGAAGCTCAGCGAGTCCCAAAGAAATTGGACCCAAGGAGGAACTCACGAACATCATTATTACATTACCCAAGATTAAAAATAAGGAGAGAATCCTAGAAGCAGGAACAGGAAAGGAGACAGTTACCTACAAAGGAGTTCCCATAAGACTATCAGCTGATTTTTCAAAAGAAACTTTGCAGGCAAGTAGGGGCTGGAAAGAAGCATTTGAAGTCAGGAAAGGCAAGTACCTACATCCAAGATTGCTCTATCCAGCAAAGCTGCCATTTAGAATGGAAGAGCAGACAAAGTGCTTACCAGATAAGGTCAAGTTAAAGGAGTTCATCATCACCAAGCCATTATTATATGAAATGATAAAGGGATTTACCTAAGAAAAAAAAGGAAGATAAAAAATATGAACAGTAAAATGACAACAAACTCACAGCTATCAACAACCAAACCTAAAAAACAACAAAAACAAAACAAACAACTATAACAGGAACAGAATCTCAGAAATGGAGATCACATGGAAGGTTATCAGTGGGGAAGGGGAGGGAAGAATAGGGGAAAAGGTACACAGAATAAGAAGCATAAATAGTAGGTATAAAATAGACAGGGGGAAGTTAAGAATAGTAAAAGAAATGGAGAAGCCAAAGAACTTACATGTACCACCCATGGGCATGAACTACGGTGGGAGAATGCTGGTGGAAGGGGGGATGCAGGGTAGGTGGGGGGAATAAAGGGGAGAAAAAAATGGGAAACTGTAATAGCATAATCAATAAAATATACTTAAAAACATTGCAGTTAAAAACATTTACTTTTATAAATTTTACAAAAGCATATACCATGTGAACATATTGCTAGGGCCTCTTCCAGGGCCTTGGAAAGGGCTAGTGCAAATGAATGTCCCTGAAATTTTCTTAGCTTTACAGTAAATCTGCCTCAAGATTTGGAGCTATTTTATTTATAGGGTAATTGACAATTTTCACTCTGCTCTACATAGGGCTGGTGGATAAGTTTACAACTCCATTTGAGGCAAAGATTTTCTAGCAGATCTTAGCCTGTTGTGTTAAGGGGTGGCTCACTGCTATTGGTTTACACTAGCAGTTCTCAAACTCTCTGGTCTCATGACCATTTCACACTCCTAAAAAGTACTGAGAACTCCCAAAAGCTTTTATGTGAATCTTATCTATCAACACTTACTGTGTTAGGAATCAAAACAAACCTGTAAAATATTTTTATTAATTCATTTAAAAACAATAATAAATCTGATGCATGTTCACATAAATAACATTTTTAAACCAAAAGTAACTATATTTTCCAAAGTAAAAAGAATTTAGTGAGAAAAGAGGCATTATATCATCTTTCTGTAAGTCTCTTTAATGTCTGGCCTAATTCTCAAATCTGCTTCTGTATTCAACCTGTTGTACAGAACATGTTCACTGTGGAAAACTCCATTGTACTTTCATTACAGTGAAAAAGGCAAATAAAATCTTACCATGAAATAATTTTGACCCTGGCCACCCTGACCATGTTTTCAGAACAGTTGATTTAGACATCACTATATAGCAGTCTCCCCTATCCACAGAGGGTATGTTCCAAAATCTCTAGTAGATACCTGTAAGTGCAGATAGTGTCAAATCCTATATATAATCAATACTATGGGTTTTTTTCAATGCATACATACTTATGATAAAGTTCAATTTATGAGTTAGGCACAGTAAGATATTAATAACATAATAAAATAGAATAAGTATAACAATGTACTGTAATCAAAGTTGTGTTAAAATGGTCACTCACTTCAGGGGACCCCTTGCTGAGGATCAGTACTTTCTGGTGCAACACTTTGCTGTCAACTGGAACACAAAGCTTTCTGTTCATGCATTCCACCCACAAATGTAATGCCTTTTTCGTCTTAACTAAGGATTTGTCACACACTGTGGCCATAATTTTTTCAGTTTTAGGTGCAACAGCAACACTAGCATGAATTTTTTCTTTTTTTTTTCACAATTTAACAGATGGAACATTCATTTTTAGCAACCTTAAAATATGATTTTTTCTTTCCTTATTAAGTGAAGAATTTTAACCTTTTCATTTACAGCTTCTCTTTAGCATATCCAGATTGCCAGCCTCATTAATCTTGCGCTTTGGGGCCATTAAGTAAAAAAAAGGTCTTGAACACAAGCACTGTGATACTGGGACAGTGGATCTGATAACCTACAGGGCTGTCTACTAAGTGACTGATAGGTGGGGAGCATAACCATCATGGGTAAGCTGGACAAAAGGATGATTCATGACCTGGGTAAAATGGAGCAGGCTGGCTCAAGATTTCATCACAGTACTCAGAGGTGTACATTTGAAAACTTAGGAATTATTTACTAAATTGTTTACTTATGGAATTTTTCATATAATATTTTCATCCCATGATTGATGGCAAGTAACTTGAAACCACGGAAACTGCAGAAAGTGAAATCCCAGATAAGGGGAGATTACTGTATAGTTATTTTCTGGTTGCTTAGGGTTCCCAAAGTAAGCTTTCTCTATTTCTGTATCTGTATAATGAACCCCACCTCCTAGATAACAGTCAAATGTTAATTATTAATCACTATGTTTTTTAGCATCCATGGAAAACTTCAGAAACAATTTTTGGCGGACAGTAAATCTTAGAGAAGGCATTCTTCCCTTTCCCTGACAAGAGAAAGATTATCTCTTTCAATGTATATGCTTCCTGATAGTAAGGCTTTCTTCTTTTACGAATACAATGACCAAGGAAAATGTTAGACTAAGACCAAAAACAACATTAGGTGTCTTTTATGTTACAACAACACAATCTAATATTTACCAAGTCCTTTCTGTATGTTATGCTTGTGCTAAGAACATTAGGTACATATTACTTCTCACAATAATCCTATGAGGTATCTACCCTGATTACTATTCTACACATGAGGAAACTGAGATAGAGAGGTTAACGCCCAGAGGTTAACTGGGCCAGGAACAGAACCCAGAAAAAGAAGTGCAGAGTCCATTTTCTACCGATAAAGTATAAAGATGGGCGATGGAGCGAGATCTGCACAACAGCAGAGGTGATAGAACTTAAAAAGCAAAAGCCTCAGGACCACTCTCGGTACCCTACCAGGGATGTACTTTATTCTTGTCCACCGGAAGCTTCCTTTCTGCTTTGTTTTCTACGCTACCATGCTCCCCTTCTCATATTCAGGATATTTCCTTGCTGGAGGCTTCATCTTTTAATCCTGGGGCTGATCCCGCCATTCAGGTGCTAAATAACGTGGTGAGAACGCGCAGGACAAATCCGCGGTAACCACCGAGCCAACGGCGTGCGGAGCATTTTGCGCAGGCGCGTTAAGTCCCAGGCCAGGCTGCCGGCCCCACCCCCGGGCCTCAGACTCCACCCGCTAGTGGAGAGTGTGGGCGTGGGCGACGGGTGTGGGCTGGTGTGTGGGGGCGGGAGCGAGGCCGGGCGGGCGCCTGCGCAGTCGGTGGCACGCTGGTGTGATAGGGCTCACGTAGAGAGGGCTGCAGTCGCCTCCTATCCAGCGTTGCCGTGGCGGCCTAGAGGTTATAAAAAGGCTTACTGGCTCCCTCTGCCGCTCAGTCGCGCCGCCAGCGGGTAGAAGGGAAGCAGTAGGTAACCCGCCCGTGTGCTGGCAACAGGGGACTGAAGAAGGCGCTCCTGCCCTACTTCTCAGGTGAGACGCTCCCCGGATCTTGGAGACTGAGGCCGAGGCCCTCAGGCAGCTGTGGTCCTTATCGTATCGCTCTGGTGGTCCGGTGCCTGTCCCTTTTGGTGGGATAGCTTGGGGGGCGAGGGTTCGCCAGTATTTCACCGCAGCCTCAGGGTCTTTCTGGGGACTCGGCCCCTCGGCCTGCGCCGCGCGACCCCTGTCTGGCCCAGAGGCTCTTTTCTGCCCTGGTGTATGCTCCCCTTCTCACCTCCTCCCTGGTGGGCGCCTCCAGCCGTTCGTTCGGGCTGCGGCAGCCTCCGTCCCCGCCCAGGGGACCAGAACTTTCGTGAATATTCCTTCCCGGGAAGGAATCACCCTGTTGATTTTTCCGAGCTCCTCTCATACCTGGTCCTCCCTGCAAAACTGATGGAATGCGCGTGCGGGACGTGGGGTTTTGGCTTCCCTGGCAGCAGATTGCTAGCATGTGGCCACGGACAATGGATTTTAAAGCTCAGAGCTGAAGCCCTCGAGGCATTTTTCCCACTATCGAAAAGCCACGGGGTCAAGGAAGAGAAGTACTGGGCTAACTCAACTGTTGCGCACCGCGGTGTTGCTTTAGCAGCTAGACGTAGCCCCGGGCGGCGAGTTGCCGACTGGTTGAGGAAGTCGGCTGTCAGATCACCCTGTCTTCGGGGAAGCCTTCTTTTCCTTCCTACTTTTTACACAGATTTTTTTTTTTTTTAAGCGCAGGAGCTTCTCCCCTGTTCATCTTTCTCAGCAGTTTGCTGCTTTTAAAGTCCACGTTAGTAAAACGAATTCCATGGTTGTGTGAGAACCTTGAGTTGGAGTACATGAATGGCCCCCAGGTCTATGTCTTAAGGGGGAGCAGTGGTACCATAACTATGAGACTATTTTCCTAAATAATCGAGTATATTAAATACAGTTCAATTTTAAGAACTAAACATCTTATGTGTCCCGGATAGAGTGGAGAAGACTCTTGGAATTTTTGGACTGTTTGCTTTTAGAACGGGATGAATAAGAACCTAGATCTATCTCCTTTGATGAATTGATCCGAAAGGCGAAGGCGGCTTGCCAATTTCAACTTAACTGTTTCTGGTTTCTCCGAGAGCTGCGGCTCCGACTTTCCCTTGGAATGCACTCGAAAGGGATGAAATAGCCACTACGTGAGAGGGGGAGGGGAAAAGACGTGGCAGGAGTGTTCTTTCATCAACTCTTTTGCTCATTTTTTTTTTTTAGGTTCTGGAAAGAAACATATTTCTCTTTTAGGTTTAGACGTAGCTTATGAATGAGGCTAGTCTTTTCCTAAAATAATCAAATGAAATATTCATTCCGCATAGCGGGAACACTGGAATTTAATTTATAAAACATTTCAAAGGGAGTTTTCTCATCGAGTTTCTATGGAGAAAACGGATACCTTAGGCAGAAAATATTCAAGAAGCTGAAAATGAACAGCCTTGAATATGTTTGGCCTTGATTTGAAATTTAAATAGGCGTTTTATGATTTTTCTTTAACTTTGGTTTTTAGCTTGTGAGTGTAAATTTCTTTTTGTGAGTGCAATTTTAGAATCTGAAATATGAACTTCAAATTTAACTTTTTTTGTTCCGTGGGAAGCATAGGTTTTATCACTTACCTTTAAAAGTTTTGTCATTTTTGGTTTTGAAACATTATGCCTTAAATCCTGCCAGTATTTCAGATAGCTGATGGCAATGTTTCTTACAAATTTAACATAGACTAACTAGGAAAAGGACTACTTTGCCTTTTTTTAGGTGGCTGATGCTGTGTCCTTTGACCTCTTAAAACGAGTTTTATTTTTAAGTACAGAAAACCAGGGCTTTGGTAAGCAGGTAATTACATTGGCAATTTAGTATTTAGTGTCTTGGTAACTAAGGTAGTAAAATAGATGACAAATTGTATACAACTTTTAATTATTGCAGAAAAATTTAGACGGTGCAAAAACTATTGGAAAAAGAAAGTTTTTATCAGCTAGGTAGTCCAAGTTGTTGCAGGTGAATCTTGGCTTTTTGTTAAGGAGATGTTACCCTTTCTAAAACTGTAGAGTGGGTTGTATACTGACAAGCAGTGTCTTTCAGAAGGCAGTTGAGTTCAAATTCTTTTAATTCAGGGATGCAGTCATAAAGCTTGTGAGCCTTCATTTTTGTGGACAGAAAGCCTTATTTTACTTAGCAATTAATAATCAACTGAGATATAATTACTGCTGCTCTCAGATTTGAAAAGTGTACTCTGTGAAATACGTAGTAGCAGTTCTCAACCTCGTTTGAGTTCATGAAATCCATTGAGAATGTGATAGAGGGTGTGGGACCTGAGTCAAAAAATGCAAGTACATATACACATCTGAATGGAATTTTGTATTCCCTTTACAGATATTCTCCTCCCTCCTCTCAAGCATATGTAGAAACTTACAAGAACTGAACAATTAGAAGAGATGTGAAGTTAATCTTTAAGGATATCTAGGTATATCAAGGCAGTATTTCTTGAATATTTCTGAAAATTGAGCTGGGCTTGTGAGTCTGACTGGACTGAATATATAGATGATAATAAACTTTTGCTAGAAGTTTATTTGACAAACATTAATAGGTTGGTAGGAGAATTGTTGAATTGCTAAATTGTCTAGGCAATCATATATCATATTTTCCCCCTTTGCCTCTCCCTGCCACTGTCCCCAACATGTAACATTTCTTTGGTTCTATTCTGAAAGTGGAAAATGCTTGAAGGTAAACAAAAAGTAAATCGCACAGGCCCTTGGTATTAAGCTCTGTTGCTCTTACAGTGAAATCTCCAACCCTATAATTAAATCATAGTGCTGTGTGTGTGTGTGTTGTATGACTATGTAAGAGATAAGCTAAATGAATGTGTATGTATATTTGGGAAACTAGTTAAAGGTTTGTGTTTCTATATAATGAAAAATTTTAAATCTATTTTATTTTTATTTTTAATCCTCACCCAAGGATATGTTTATTGATTTTAGAGAGAGAGAAAGGGAGAGAGAAACATCGATGTGAGAGAAACATCAAATTGTTGTCTCTCTCGTGTGCCCACCTTGGGACTGAACCCAAAACCTAGGTATGTGCTCCCACCAGTAATGGAACCCATGACCTTGTGGTTTCCCAGACGATGCTCCAATCAACCGAGCAACACTGGCTGGGTGGTTTACTATTTTTAACTTAAATAGTGTTTTATCAGATTGATATACTAAGCCTCTTTCTCTTCTTGCTGGGCGTTTGAGCTGCTTCTCCATTTGTAAGTAGTGTCTGCCTATATAGTTACAGTAAACTTTAACCACTTTTATTCTAGCTGCATTTTCTTAAGGAAAAGAAACACATGTCAATAGTTTTTTTTCTTTCCCCGAAAGGATTTTCTTGGGGAATTGGACTGGGTCCTAAACAGATGTTTAAATCTACTAGATTACAACTAAGGCATTTGACAATTTATGAAGTGTTCTTTTATATAGTTTGAGCTTCAGAATAATTTTGTGAGGAAGTTTTATATCATCCTCATTTTACAAATGAAGAGCTAATAGGTTGGGACTCAAAGAAGTAGTTTGCCCTAGATATAGTAAGTAGCAGAGCTATGTCTTGGACCCAGGTAGTCTGTTTACTGATTCACAGTTTATATTATTCCATCCTTGAGAATTGGTCAAACTGACTTTGAAGTAATGGAAGGGGAAAAAAAAAAAAACAATGGCATATTAACAATGTATTAGAAAGTTTTCAACATTAGGAGTTGAAATAAGGTAGGGTTCCTGGTTAGTAGTAATTAACTTAGTCATTCTACTCAATTTTAAAAGCATTTATAATGTGCCCAGTACACATGGTGGGAAAAATCAAAAGACTGATGAGAAATGTTTCATAGGAGAAATATGACATAAATGTTACATGGTATGTAAGCATGTTGCTAACATTGTACTTGATATTAAATCTGAATAAGTGTTGAATGGAAGCACATATCTAGGTTCACATCCTCTACAACCATGAATTTATTTTCCTCCATTCTAGTATATGTGGTTTTATTATGTATATATTTTCGTCCATGTTATGTGTTACTCCTTTTTATTGCTGAGTAGTATTACACTGTATGGATATACCACAGTTTGTTTTTTTGGTACATTTACCAGTTGACAGACATTTGGGCTGTTTCCAGCTTTTAGCTGTTATAAATAAAGCTGCTATGAGCATTCATGTACAAATCTTTGGAGGGATATATACCTTCTTTCCTCTTGCATAAATATGTGGGAATAGAACAGCTACATCATATATGATAGGGAAATATTTTTTCCCAGTATGTGACTTGTCTTTGTTTTTTTAACAATGTTTTTCAAAGAGCAAGGACTATTTTTATTCATGGACAGTATGTCTGTACAGAAAATTTGAAAGGTTGTTAAAAAAAGCTGTAGATCTAAGGTGAGTTCAGCTAGGTTGAAGGACAATCAATATATAACAATCAATTGTATTACTTTATACTAGCAAGAACAATTGGAAATTAAAATTTAAAAGTATCATCCTAACAGTACCAAAACCCATGAAATACTTAAGTATTAACTTTTACAAAATATGTCCAAGATTTGTATACTGAAAGTTAAAAAAAATGCTGATGAATGAAGCCAAAGAAGACCTACATAAGTGGAGAGGTATTTCATATTTATGGATTGGAAGACTCATTCTTGTTAAGATTTTCATTCCTCCGACACTGACCTATAGATTCAATATAATTTCAGTCCAGATTCCAGTAGGATTTCTTATAGAAGCCGATAAGCTAAATCCAAAATGGATGTGGGGGGAAAAAAAAAAAAAACTAGGAAAGGCAACACAATTTTGAAAAAGAACAAAGTTGGAAAACTCACACTACCTGATTTCAACTTATTATATAGCTGCAGTACTCAAGTCAGTGTGATATCGGAGAAAAGATAGGCATACAGATCGATGGAACAAAATACAGAATCCAGACACACAAAAATGATCAACTTGTTTTTGGCAAAGGTATAAAGGCAATTTAGTACAAAAGGATAGTATGGAATAGTTGGATATTGATATGCAAAAAACAAAAAATCTGTCATGCTAGTGCACCTAGTTATCTCCTACTAGGCACTAGACGCCCCCTGCCTAGGAATTTATTAAATATTTAGACAGTGTCACAAGGCACTAATGGATATGAAATATGAAATAAAGTTTACTTTTACAATAAACTGCAAAAGGGTTCAAGGACAAGGGCTTAGGTTTAGTTCAGAATGAAGCAAGAGTGAAGAAGGGTGGTTGGTTTTAGTTTTTTTTTTTAAATATATTTTATTGATTTGCTATTACAGTTGTCCCATTTTTCCCCCTTCTCTCCCCTCCACCCTGTACACCCTCTCCCACCCATATCCCCCCCTTTAGTCATGTCCATATGTCATAAGTTCTTTAGCTTCTACATTTCCCATACTATTCTTACCCTCCCCCTATCTATTTTCAACCTACAATCTATGCTACTTATTCTCTATACCTTTTCCCCCTCTCTCCTCTTTGCACTCCTCTGTTGCTAACTCTCCATGTGATCTCCATTTCTGTGGTCTGTTCCTGTTCTAGTTGTTTGCTTAGTTTCTTTTGGTTTTGCTTTAGGTGTGGTTGTTAATAATTGTGACTTTGCTGTCCTTTTACTATACATGTTTTTTCTTTATCTTCTTTTCTTTGATAAGTCCCTTTAACATTTCATAAAATAAGGGCTTGGTGATGATGAACTCCTTTAACTTGACCTTATCTGAGAAGCACTTTATCTGCCCTTCCATTCTAAATTAAAGCTTTGCTGGATAGAGTAATCTGGGATATAGGTCCTTGTCTTTCATGACTTGGAACACTTCTTTCTAGCCCCTTCTTGCCTGCAAGGTCTCTTTTGAGAAATCAGCTGACAGTCTGATGGGAACTCCTTTGTAGGTTACTGTCCCCTTATCTCTTGCTGCTTCTAGGATTCTCTCCTTTGTTTTTACCTTGGCTAATGTAATTATGATGTGCCTTGGTGTGTTTCTTCTTGGGTCCAACTTCTTTGGAGCTCTCTGAGCTTCCTGGACTTCCTGGAAGTGTATTTCCTTTGCCAGCTTGGGGAAGTTCTCCTTTATTTGTTCAAATACGTGTTCAGTCTGTTGCTTTTCCTCTTCCCCTTCTAGTACTCCTTCTAGTACCCCTATAATTCGGATGTTGGAATGTTTAAAGATGTCCTGGAGGTTCCTAAGCTTCTCCTTGTTTTTTTGAATTCTTATTTCTCCATTCTTTCCTGATTGGTTGTTTTTTCTTCCTTCTGGTCCACTCTATTGTTTTGAGTCCCAGTTTCCTTCCCATCCCTATTGGTTCTCCATGCATCGTCCTTCATCTCTTTTATGGTAACCTGCATTTTCTCATCCAATTTGTGCCCAAAGTCAACCAATTCTGTGAGCTTCCTGATTACCAGTGTTTTGAACTGTGCATCTGATAGATTGGCTATCTCTTAGTCACTCAAAAGGATGAGTCCTGGGGCATTGATCTGTACTTCTGTTTGAGACATGTCTCTCTCTCTCTCTTTTTGGTCTGGTCACTCCTGTTACGGTGAGGGGTGGAGCCTTAGGTGTTCACTGGGGCTGGGCACCCCAGTCGTTAGATTGTGAGGTTGTATGTGGGGGCGGGAGGGGGAGGGAACAATGGCGGTATCTCTGTTCTCCTGGGACCTCAGTCCCTTCCCTGGTATCCTGGGTTGCGCGCTCTGCCCTGGTCCACAATTGCTGCCTCACTGGGTCTGCCAGCTGCCGCTTGCCTACTCAGGGCCCACCCACTGTGATCTTGTGCGCCCCAGATGCCTTACGCGCCCTGGTTGCCTTATGCGCCAATTCACCCTGTTCTCCACCCGCCGCGACCCACGCCCGGCTGCTCCTCTCTGCCCCTCCTACCAGTCTGGATGAACGGGTCTACTTCAACTTCTTGGCTGTCCGACTTCCATTCAGATAAATTCTCTGTCAGTTCTGGGTGTTATTCTGCCTCTAAATTGTTGTTGTTCTAATCTTGGTGGTGCGTGGAGGTACGGTGCATGCACCTATGTCTCCATCTTGCCGGAAGTCCTGGTTTTAGTTTTCATTGTGGCTTGAAGAAGGGACATGTGTGATAGTTCCCATGTCTGGGATATACGTGGTTTTAATTTCCCACCAACACTGAGGGAGGGAGTGACTGGATTTTCTTTCTACTTTTTTTTTACATTTAAATATGGCTTTTATTAGATTGATATGAGTCATGTGTTTCACATTTTGATTTTTAAGACTATCTTAACAGTCATTTTTAAATGGATTTTCTTTCTTTAAATTTTTAAAAAAGATTTTATTTATTTTAGACAGAGGAAAGGAGGGAGAAAGAGAGGGAGAGAAACCTCAGTGTGTGGTTGCCTCTTGCGCACCCCCTACTGGGGACCTGATCTGGCCTGCAATCCAGGCATGTGCCCTGACTGGGAATTGAACCAGCAACCCT